GGGGTGGGGGGGTGGGGGGACGGTGAGCAAATAAGGGGAGCGCTCCCCAGAACCAGAAGAGGGGCAAGGGGGTGACTCGGGCCGTGGGCACCCCACCCCACCCCCAGGGCGGAAACCCACTCTTGCGCTTCATTCCTGATGTACCTGTAACCAGTGACGACGCCCCCCCACCCCCACCCCAGTCGTGTGTTTTGTTTTGTTTTTTTTTAAACACAGAAGAAACCAACCAACCTGGTTGACTTTGCTGGTCGGTCGCCAGGTTTAAAGCGAGCAGCTTTGCTTCTTCCTGTTCTGTTCTGGGGTCCTGCCTTCTCACTATCTCGGAACCGCGGGGGGTGGCCGCTGCCCCCGGGGTGCCCGTCTCCTCCCATCAGACAACAGAACGTTCCTCCACGCCTTTTGAGTTTTTTGGTCTGTCTCCTTTCTCTTATTTTTTTTTTTTTAAAACAAAATAACATTTTTTTAAAAAAGAATTCTCAGACATATCAAGTACAGCTCTGAGGGTGGGGCAGTGGAGGGAACTGGGGGAACCTGGGGCAGGGGCCCCCAAGCAGCTGGGAAGACCAAGGCGGCTGTAGGAGCTCCGACCACCCACCCCATCCCACCCTAGGAAGGGGGAGCCACAGGAAACAGGGTCCCGCTTCCTGGTGGCGATGGATGGTGGGGGCTGTCCCCGGATCCGGGACCCTTTCCTCCTGGGGCTTCGGGGCCATTCTGGGGTGAAAACAGACGGACAGGACCCCCTCCCGCCGAAAGCAAGTGAGCGTCGTCTTCGCCCGAGAGCAACGGGGCCGTTACTCTCCACGCCCCATTCCAACGGGAACAGTTGGGTGGTTTTCCCACCTCTGTGTATGTAGATATATCGACTTTGTATTAAAGGGAAATTGTCCGAGCCTGCCGGCACTGGCGTCTTTGTTATATACCCCACCTGCCCTCTTCCATTCCCCGGGATGGCTGTGCTGTGGGGGGTGCTCCTGAGGTAGTGCTCTGGGGGAGTTGGCCCAGATGGGAGTTGAACTTAGAACCCAAGCCCCATCCTGAAGGGGCCATTCTGCCGACGCACAGCGATCACAGCTGAGCCTCTGGAGCAGACTGAGCTGCCTGAGATGGTGCGTGCTCAGCCCAGAGTACAAATGAGCAAGGGCCAGGCTCCATCCCCCAGTCTCACAAAGCACTGGGGTTTGGGTATCCACCAGCCTCAGCCACGGCCCCAAACGCAGGAGGGAGCTGGCAGTGGAGACCAGAGAGGGCACACAGGACTCCTCCCTGGCTCTAGACACATGCCCCCCTCTGAGCCATTGTCAGACCCTGAGGGAGGAGGGTGAGTCATCTTGCTGTCCCCAGCCTTGTCTGAATCCTTCCCACTTTCTAGTGGAGACCCCAGACATGGGATGAAAGGCGCTGCCCACTCACCAGACACTGAAAAGGCCCAGGGACTTGAGGTGGTCTCGGGCCAGAAGTCTAGCCCAGAAAGAGGAAGACCCTGCTTTTTTAGAAACCAATCCATGAGATAGTCAAAAGAATGAACATCAATACGGAAATTCGACTAACATCATCACAACCTTACTTCAACGGAGCAAATACTATCCCACACACTAACACACAAATTCTCAGACACGGGTCATTTATAAAAAGCAGCAATAGCTTCACTTATTCAAGAAGCAAACACCAGATAGGAGGACAGGAGGAACAGTTCCTACAATAAAAGCCACCCCTGGGAAGAGTCCCAACCACAAAGTTTAAGACCTATGTATTAGCCTGGGTACTTTAGAGAAACAAGTCCACAGAAACTCATGTATAAGAGAGAGTTTTA